AATTGGCATTTAAATCGGATTAGATTAGCATAAGACCCTAATCACCCCCCCCTCTAGGGTCTAACAACAGTTACCTCTGATAGCCTATTTTCTCCAAATTCCCCCACCAATCCTCATCAATAGGATGGCGGGTCCACCAAAACTATCACGTTAACCGTTACCTCAGATAGTTCATTTTCTCCAAATTTCCCTACCAATCCTCTTCAAGTAGGATGGTAGGTCCAACAACTATCACGTTAATGATCACCTCTGATAGTCCATTTTCTCCAAATTCTCCCACCAATCCTCCTCAATAGGATGGCGGGTCCACCAAAACTATCACGTTAATAGTTACCTCTGATAGTCCATCAACTTGCTAATCCTCTTCAATAGGATGGCGGGTCCACTAAAACTATCACGTTAATGATCACCTCTGATAGTCTACCTTTCTCCAAATTCCCCCACCAATCCTCTTCAATAGGATGGCGGGTCCACTAAAACTATCACGTTAACCGTCACCTCTGATAGTCATTTTTCTTCAAATTCCCCCACTAATCCTCTTCAATAGGATGGCGGGTCCACTAAAACTATCACGTTAATGATCACCTCTGATAGTCTACCTTCCTCCAAATTCCCCCACCAATCCTCCTCAATAGGATGGCGGGTCCACCAAAACTATCACGTTAACGGTTACCTCTGATAGTCTAGTTCCTCCAAATTCCCCCACCAATCCTCTTCAAGTAGGATGACGGGTCCACAAAAAACTATCACGTTAACCATCACCTCTGATAGTCCTTTTCCTCCAAATTCTCCCACCAATCCTCTTCAAGTAGGATGGCGAGTCCACCAAAACTATCACGTTAACAGTTACCTCTGATAGTCAAACTTATCAGATAATGGCCTACCAGGTGATGTGCCTCTATTACCTCTTTTTATTCCCCTGCTAAGTCTTAATCAAGACTGGGGGTTGGTTACTTGGCATCCATTGGATTAAAAGTAACGAATCTTTCACATCGTCAAGTTAACATTACACTTCTGACGATCATCACCCCACAGAGTATGAATGCAGCTTGCATCACTCCCAATTTGTCACGTTAACAATACACCTCTGACAATCAACTTATCAATTCTTATCAATAGGATGATAGGTCTCCGAATTGCTACAACTGCGTATAAATCTTCCCAACCAAGACGGCTAAGTCTTCAAAATCTTGTTTCAAGATCAACAAGGGCATCAAAAATTTTATGCAGCTTTTGAATGATAAACTCATTTAGCAAGTTTCCCGCAGAACAGCGAGACACGCTAATTCCTAAAATCTTGTGGGGCAAGTCAGCAAGAAACACATTGCACTGTCAAGTTAAACAGATATACCTCTTGATTAATGATGCCACAATCCACTTATCAATCCTCGTCAATAGGATGATAAGTCCACAAGTTGCTCCAATCGCAACACAAATCCTGTCACGTTAACACTAAACCTCTGACAACCCACTTATCAATCCTCATCAATAGGATGATAAGTCCACAAAGTTGCTCCAATCGCAACACAATCATGTCACGTTAACATCACACCTCTGACAAAAACCCACTTATCAATCCTCATCAATAGGATGATAAGTCCAAATTGCTGCGTCTGAGCTTCCAAACACTGCGTTTGAACACAGAATTCGCATCAGAACATGGATTTTGCGTTTGACTCGTTCAAACACGAGCTGAATGGTTTCAAAACCGTTTCCCACGATCTGAGGGGATCACAACTCCACTCAGGAGTGATTTAAGGGGCAGTTACATCCCATTAGCCCCACTTAGGAGCGAATTAAGGAGGTGGTTACACCCCTTAATCCCCTATAAATAACTGAAAATCAATTCAGTTCGGTGCGGTCTGTTGGAACTTCTTGGCAGCGAAAAGAGGATCCTTCATCCTTCGGTTGGAGCTTTGGAGATTAGCAACAAGATCTTTTTTATCCTTGGCTTATAACCGACTTTCGGTTAAATCAACTCTTTCATAGAGTTTTAAACTCGTTCAGAGTTCTCCACAACGTCAAATCGTGAGGAGAAGACCACGTTCCAGTGAAACAAGACATCGGATCGTCAACAAGAAGCAAACTCGACGCGAGCATTCGAGGGAGGCATCTCATCGCCACCGTGAAGAACCCAGATTTAAACAAAGGGGAGAATCCAGATCATTCTCTTCTCTTTTATAATCAGGAAATCCAATTGTAACTGAGATTAAAGGAATACAAATCAATTTTCCTTCATTGTCTTTTTACTGCAAATTTTCCACAAACAGGCCTCCTGCCTCCGGGTCCCACCGATTATCTCCCGCTGAAAGCACCCTCTAAGAACAAGATTCGTCGACGACGGAGCCACGGTCATCGACGGCGACAACAGAGGCATCATAGAAGGCGATATAGGGCCCACGAACCAGCTGATCTGGCAAAGCTGCAAGTTGAGATCCAGCGATACCGGCATCGACATCGGAGGCGGTGTCGATGGATTCACGTAGAGATGGGGCGAGAAATCATCACAGATAAAAAAAAAGAGAAAGAGAGAAAGAGTATTATGGTCTTCACATGTTTGAAACTCTTGCGTTTTGTGTTTTGGGGGCTCAGAGAATAACGAGTTTACTTTTAGGGGTTTTGGGAGCGTTGAAAAAGTCTTGGGAGGGTATGAAATAGTTGTTACGAATTTGGGCGCCAGAAGCATTTTCCCCTTAGGGCCTGTTCGGTTGTTTTCCGAAAAAAACAAGAAATGGAAATGTCACATTTCATTTGATATCATGACATTTCAAGAGTTTTCCCATATTTCATTTTTTGTGTTCGTTTCGCAAAGAAATCACCCCTTGAAACCGCCAAGTCACATAAAGAGACAAAAAAGCCGCAATAGTAACAGTGCATGTGTTTTCTATTTCTTGTGTTCGTTTGAACAAAAAAAAAGGAAAGAGAAATGGAAACATTTAAATAATCTGTTTAATTCCCATTCATTGTTCCAACAGTGCTTTTAAATATTAAAAATTCATTGAATTGACATTTCCAAGTGTTTTCAGAGGTTTTTGTTGTGAAAACACATTTCTTAAAAATGTGATGTGGCATCCTACGTGGCGTTTCATTTCTCTAAATTTCAAAACGAACCGAACTGAAGAAATGGAAAACCCTTGAAACCAAAAACCTATGTGGCACATGGGGGATTTCTTAAAATGTGAGGTGGCGGGTGTTTTCTTTTTTTTTTTTTTGAGCAAACCGAACAGGCCCTTAAAATAAACACTCATTTTCATCTCGTTCATATATATACTCTTTGATGCTAACATACATTGGAAAAGTCCAATATTTAAATCAAGGGGGTCGATTGAAAACTAAGAACGAATACAGATTACTAGTATGCCTTGGATGTTAATAATATTCATCATCATAACATTCAACTAAATACTTTTCAATCAGATATATATCTTCACTGTTTTTGAAATAGATCGAGGAGGATCAATCTTAACCTATAAAAATATCCGTTGAATTTGAACCGCTGTATTAATAACAGTACAACGAGAAAACGAAAATTATGACATTTCACAAATTCACTTATCATACTAATTCAAATATAGATAATTGTTTGACACACTACTAAACATTTATGTATGTGCTTTGATTTCTGCCGAGCCTAATATAACGCAGACAAACTAAAGTCAACGGTCAACACCGACCCTTTATATATATATATATATTCATCAGTTCTTATTAATTTCTTAATCTTGCAAAACCCCTCTCTCTCTCTCTCTGTCGCTCAACTTAAATTTCCACCACCTTCCTTTGAAAGCTCACATACGAAATACGAACCCTTCAACAAACAACCAACCCCTTTCCCCTCATGCCACCGAAACGCACCACGTGGCATTACTCCCTCTTCGCGTCCTGTTTCCGGGCCTCAACCCGCCGGCGCACGACCCGACCCGAAAAGTCAGCGGTCAGAAGACTGTCGTTCTCTGACGTCAGCTCGCCGGAGGACCTGTCGCTGTCGCTAATGGGCTGTGATCTCCTCGCGTTTACGCTGGGTGAGCTGGAGATGGCCACTAACGGGTTCTCAGATGCGAACTTTTTGGGCGAGGGAGGGTTTGGACCCGTTTATAAAGGGGTTGTGGATGAGAAGGTGAGAGTTGGGCTTGAGGCCCGGCCCGTCGCAGTGAAGCTGCTGGATTTGGATGGCGCTCAAGGGCACAAGGAGTGGCTGGTAAGGGAAATTTCGTGCGTTAAGTCGGTGACCTTTTTATTTATTTATTTATTTACATTCTCGGTTAATTTTTTAGAGGTAATGCGCCATAAATGCAAATTAAAAGTTGTTCATATTGTTTCTCATATTGTGCACATAGACTCATGACCTTCTAATTTGAGAAGTTTTTTTGAAGTTAACAAATCAGCTATGTGTTTGTTTATTACAAGTAACTTAATTCGGTAATATTTATCACCTCTCAACTAGTTTATTACTACTCAGAGATTGTCGGTAAATTGTAGATAACCGCCTCTCTATTTTTGTTACTGATGAGTTGAGGGATGAGATCGGTCACTATATATTTAAATCTATGTGTGAAAAATATAGTCGAAGTTTAAAGGTATTATAAACAAGAGTTTGAATATAATTAATGCATATCATTTCAACTGTAAAGACTTGTAGCTCGCATGCTTGTTACGTGGGAGTTAAATATTTCTGCTGAAAAAACATTTGTAAACTATTTAGAAAAGAGATGCATATATACTTCGATTGCCAAAAAATATTTGCTGCAAATTTAGCAAAATAAGTATGAGGATCGACTCGTATATTCTACTATACATATTTATTAGGCCTGGCTTTTCTTATAATCTATTAATAAAGAACAAAAAAATTTCCTATAGCATTGTGATGTTAGCACATTGTTAGGCAGGCAATATCAGCGACGTATTAAGTTTGCTTTATCATACATGCTTGAATATTTCACTGCTAATTAATTTGACAATGTTATTGAACTTATATATTTTCTTTTCTGGTGATGGCAGGCTGAAGTAATCTTTCTCGGGCAATTGAAGCACCCCCACCTCGTGAAACTCATCGGCTACTGCTACAAGCATGAACACCGGCTGCTTGTGTATGAGTTCATGGCTAAGGGCTGCTTGGAGAATCATCTATTCAAGAGTAAACATATTTTCTCTACGGATATTTGACTCATAGCTAATAATAAAATATGTTAAGGTTATTATTTAGGAGTTTCCACGCTTCAGATAAATTTTCCTCCGTCTACGTACGCCTATGAAAGAAATACTGAATTCACGACAATTGTGTACGGGATATAATTTAGTTTTAATGGAGAAAATATCATCCCTGATGAACTGAGATATGTATTAGGAGGCCTTTTCAATTGGAAACTAATTTATCATAAGCCCGACATTTATATATGGACTATGCTCAAGTCCGCTATATTTTACATTTACTAGTACAGCCTTAGCTTTTCGGCAACATTTTCAATGGAAAACTTAATTTATACCCCAAATTAATGGAGACAGGAAGATGGTTTTGGCAACATACAACCCTCATGACATTGAGTCAAAGGCGTTCATCATCCTAACTATCTGTTCATGCGTGTCGTCATTGAAAAGAAGAATATATGAAGGGGCCGTGCATGTCATCTTATTTGACATTTTTAGAAGCGAGAATGATAGTTTCCACGGATCTAACATGCGTTTCAGCCCAAATTGGAAAAGAAAAATTATGACATGAGAGTGGTTACAAAATTTCTTATATATATTTAGAAAGAATTTGTTTGTTTCTCTTCATTTGGAGTCATTCATGGCTTATATACATACAGAAATTGCTTCATTGGCATGGTCCACGAGACTGAAGATTGCATTAGGAGCAGCCAAAGGCCTTGAGTTTCTCCATCAGACCGAGCAACCTGTGATCTACAGAGATTTTAAAGCTTCTAACATTTTACTAGACTCGGTAAAATTTCTTTTCTCATATTAGTTGTCTTTTTTGCTATCATTACCTAATCTTGATACCTTGATGAGAAATTAATTGGCTAAAGCCAACTGTTGATGATGTATGGCACTGAAATAACAAAATTCATTAGTAATTATTTAAAGGGAATCTTAGACAAAACAACAAGGAGTGAAGGGTGAGTTTGAAAACTATTAAGTGATAGATCAATCATGTTTGAGCCTTGAAATAGTATTCTATATCTTGGTTTGGAACAAATTCATCAGTTATCATTTCAAAACTTAAAAGCTAACTCATTTGATCAAAACTACAAGTGATGGTTTCAATTAATTAACATATATTGGCATTGACTAAATCAAGCATCAGGCATTTGAAAACTAAAGTCTAAGTTGTTTGAATGGTAGCTAGACATGATGGTTTTAAGACAGTGCTTTATATCTTGGTTTGGAACTAATCAAATACCAAGTCATTTGAAACACTAAAGTCTAATTTATTGTTTATTAGAAATGATGGGTACGGAACAAATCAAACATACTACTGACCGTAATCATTTGAAAACTACAGTCCAACTCATTTGAGTGTTACAGATGATTTTAACATAATATTCAATATCTTTCTTTTGGAACCGACCAAACACGAGTTGTTCGAAGAAATTATCGTAATGAAGTAAGGTGTTGCATCACAGTCGCCAACATGATAATATTAATTGGCATCTAGTGGTATATACTTGAATAGACCTCTGCAATGTGATTGTCTGTACAAAATAACCGTATCAATCATCTTTTAGTCAAGAAGCAATGTTTCCCTCCTAATTTGAATAATGAACTGTTCTACTCTTCAGGACTACAACGCGAAGCTCTCAGACTTCGGGCTCGCAAAGGATGGGCCCAAAGGCGACAAGTCCCATGTCTCAACCCGTGTTATGGGCACCGAAGGCTATGCTGCACCTGAATACATCATGACAGGTTATATATCAGCTCTGCCCTGGAATCGAACTCATCAATTTAGTGACATAATGTTTTTGATATCTTGAGTCCTAGCCTGTCATTTTTTGATATCGTGCCCATCATTTGTTGCCCTACGAATATTTGAGAAATGGTATCTGATGTAAAACTGTTTTCTTGTCTATTTTTCTTTATATGCGTAGCATAAAATCTTCTGTCAATTTCAAAATTTTCTCTCTTTCTCTCAAGGCCATCTCACGGCAAAGAGCGATGTATACAGTTTCGGTGTAGTCCTATTGGAATTACTGACTGGGCGACGATCAGTAGATACGAGTAGACCAAGCAGAGAGCAGAATCTTGTCGATTGGGCTAGACCATACATAACTGATGCAAGAAAAATAGCTCGTATCATAGACCCAACGTTAGGAGATCAGTACTCTATGACAGGAGCCTTAAAAGCAGCAGCAATTGCTAACCAATGCCTTAGCCAAAATGCTAAGTCACGGCCTCAAATGTCAGCTGTGGTCGAGGCCTTGGAGCCTCTACTTGGGCTCAACGATGAGGCTGCGACGTTTGTTTACGACGTTGGTGAGAATGTCGAGACCAAGGAGAATGGGGAGTTTAAACATGGACGAAGAAGGAAGTTGCGTAGAAGAGCTTTGGTACCGAAGGGACTGAAGCGTAAATAAAGATTTTGGGTCATTCTTTTTTTTTTGGTGATTAAATTTGTATTTTATTAGTATGTAAAGATGTATGTGTTAAAAGTGTGTTAAAGTTTGATAAATTCAAAAAGTGCGATTTGTGTTTCGATGTGCAATTTATGTAGAATAGGCAGAGATCTGATTGAATACAAATCCATTTCGGTTTCCGTTAATAATGAAATCAATATTAAGTGAGGTGATCGTTTATGTTAAATCAAACAATTCGTTTTGTAGTTGTAATGTAGTATCTTCAGTTTTGACTACAGATCTAGACTAACGTTTAACCTAGTGGCATCTGTTGCAGAAAGAAAGTGACTTGTTTGTGAAACTTATTTGTGATAGATGGTTTGTTTTGCTTTTGTTTTGCTTTGTTTGTATTTTTTTGTCTTGGTTTGGTTTTTTTTTTGGTGTGGAGTTTTGACTACAGATCTAGACTAACGTTTAACCTAGTGGCATCTGTTGCAGAAAGAAAGTGACTTGTTTGTGAAACTTATTTGTGATAGATGGTTTGTTTTGCTTTTGTTTTGCTTTGTTTGTATTTTTTTGTCTGGGTTTGGTTTTTTTTTTGGTGTGGCCCAGGGGAAGTTAAGGTAACCATTACACAAAGATAATTTTACCCTTCTATAAAAAAAATATTATGCATGTAAGGTTATCTTTGTAAATTTATAAATATGTTAACTAATGTGAAAAGATATATGACTTTGTTCCCCGAAAATTCGGGGGTAACTAAGGAGAAGTTAAATGTAACTATAACATGAAGATAATTTTACCCTTCTATAAAATAAAAAAAATAATAGTATGCATGTAAGGTTATTTATATAAATTTATATATATTCCTTTTTCATCACTTTATCAAACTTTCCAAGTGTAGTAAAATAAGTTCCTCGCGATTCTCCTTATTAAATTCCCAAAAAAAAAAAAAAATATGTTACATTAATTTCGTTTACTTATAGGTATTATAAACAAGAGTTTGAATATAATTAATGCATATCATTTCAACTGTAAAGACTTGTAGCTCGCATGCTTGTTACGTGGGAGTTAAATATTTCTGCTGAAAAAACATTTGTAAACTATTTAGAAAAGAGATGCATATATACTTCGATTGCCAAAAAATATTTGCTGCAAATTTAGCAAAATAAGTATGAGGATCGACTCGTATATTCTACTATACATATTTATTAGGCCTGGCTTTTCTTATAATCTATTAATAAAGAACAAAAAAATTTCCTATAGCATTGTGATGTTAGCACATTGTTAGGCAGGCAATATCAGCGACGTATTAAGTTTGCTTTATCATACATGCTTGAATATTTCACTGCTAATTAATTTGACAATGTTATTGAACTTATATATTTTCTTTTCTGGTGATGGCAGGCTGAAGTAATCTTTCTCGGGCAATTGAAGCACCCCCACCTCGTGAAACTCATCGGCTACTGCTACAAGCATGAACACCGGCTGCTTGTGTATGAGTTCATGGCTAAGGGCTGCTTGGAGAATCATCTATTCAAGAGTAAACATATTTTCTCTACGGATATTTGACTCATAGCTAATAATAAAATATGTTAAGGTTATTATTTAGGAGTTTCCACGCTTCAGATAAATTTTCCTCCGTCTACGTACGCCTATGAAAGAAATACTGAATTCACGACAATTGTGTACGGGATATAATTTAGTTTTAATGGAGAAAATATCATCCCTGATGAACTGAGATATGTATTAGGAGGCCTTTTCAATTGGAAACTAATTTATCATAAGCCCGACATTTATATATGGACTATGCTCAAGTCCGCTATATTTTACATTTACTAGTACAGCCTTAGCTTTTCGGCAACATTTTCAATGGAAAACTTAATTTATACCCCAAATTAATGGAGACAGGAAGATGGTTTTGGCAACATACAACCCTCATGACATTGAGTCAAAGGCGTTCATCATCCTAACTATCTGTTCATGCGTGTCGTCATTGAAAAGAAGAATATATGAAGGGGCCGTGCATGTCATCTTATTTGACATTTTTAGAAGCGAGAATGATAGTTTCCACGGATCTAACATGCGTTTCAGCCCAAATTGGAAAAGAAAAATTATGACATGAGAGTGGTTACAAAATTTCTTATATATATTTAGAAAGAATTTGTTTGTTTCTCTTCATTTGGAGTCATTCATGGCTTATATACATACAGAAATTGCTTCATTGGCATGGTCCACGAGACTGAAGATTGCATTAGGAGCAGCCAAAGGCCTTGAGTTTCTCCATCAGACCGAGCAACCTGTGATCTACAGAGATTTTAAAGCTTCTAACATTTTACTAGACTCGGTAAAATTTCTTTTCTCATATTAGTTGTCTTTTTTGCTATCATTACCTAATCTTGATACCTTGATGAGAAATTAATTGGCTAAAGCCAACTGTTGATGATGTATGGCACTGAAATAACAAAATTCATTAGTAATTATTTAAAGGGAATCTTAGACAAAACAACAAGGAGTGAAGGGTGAGTTTGAAAACTATTAAGTGATAGATCAATCATGTTTGAGCCTTGAAATAGTATTCTATATCTTGGTTTGGAACAAATTCATCAGTTATCATTTCAAAACTTAAAAGCTAACTCATTTGATCAAAACTACAAGTGATGGTTTCAATTAATTAACATATATTGGCATTGACTAAATCAAGCATCAGGCATTTGAAAACTAAAGTCTAAGTTGTTTGAATGGTAGCTAGACATGATGGTTTTAAGACAGTGCTTTATATCTTGGTTTGGAACTAATCAAATACCAAGTCATTTGAAACACTAAAGTCTAATTTATTGTTTATTAGAAATGATGGGTACGGAACAAATCAAACATACTACTGACCGTAATCATTTGAAAACTACAGTCCAACTCATTTGAGTGTTACAGATGATTTTAACATAATATTCAATATCTTTCTTTTGGAACCGACCAAACACGAGTTGTTCGAAGAAATTATCGTAATGAAGTAAGGTGTTGCATCACAGTCGCCAACATGATAATATTAATTGGCATCTAGTGGTATATACTTGAATAGACCTCTGCAATGTGATTGTCTGTACAAAATAACCGTATCAATCATCTTTTAGTCAAGAAGCAATGTTTCCCTCCTAATTTGAATAATGAACTGTTCTACTCTTCAGGACTACAACGCGAAGCTCTCAGACTTCGGGCTCGCAAAGGATGGGCCCAAAGGCGACAAGTCCCATGTCTCAACCCGTGTTATGGGCACCGAAGGCTATGCTGCACCTGAATACATCATGACAGGTTATATATCAGCTCTGCCCTGGAATCGAACTCATCAATTTAGTGACATAATGTTTTTGATATCTTGAGTCCTAGCCTGTCATTTTTTGATATCGTGCCCATCATTTGTTGCCCTACGAATATTTGAGAAATGGTATCTGATGTAAAACTGTTTTCTTGTCTATTTTTCTTTATATGCGTAGCATAAAATCTTCTGTCAATTTCAAAATTTTCTCTCTTTCTCTCAAGGCCATCTCACGGCAAAGAGCGATGTATACAGTTTCGGTGTAGTCCTATTGGAATTACTGACTGGGCGACGATCAGTAGATACGAGTAGACCAAGCAGAGAGCAGAATCTTGTCGATTGGGCTAGACCATACATAACTGATGCAAGAAAAATAGCTCGTATCATAGACCCAACGTTAGGAGATCAGTACTCTATGACAGGAGCCTTAAAAGCAGCAGCAATTGCTAACCAATGCCTTAGCCAAAATGCTAAGTCACGGCCTCAAATGTCAGCTGTGGTCGAGGCCTTGGAGCCTCTACTTGGGCTCAACGATGAGGCTGCGACGTTTGTTTACGACGTTGGTGAGAATGTCGAGACCAAGGAGAATGGGGAGTTTAAACATGGACGAAGAAGGAAGTTGCGTAGAAGAGCTTTGGTACCGAAGGGACTGAAGCGTAAATAAAGATTTTGGGTCATTCTTTTTTTTTTGGTGATTAAATTTGTATTTTATTAGTATGTAAAGATGTATGTGTTAAAAGTGTGTTAAAGTTTGATAAATTCAAAAAGTGCGATTTGTGTTTCGATGTGCAATTTATGTAGAATAGGCAGAGATCTGATTGAATACAAATCCATTTCGGTTTCCGTTAATAATGAAATCAATATTAAGTGAGGTGATCGTTTATGTTAAATCAAACAATTCGTTTTGTAGTTGTAATGTAGTATCTTCAGTTTTGACTACAGATCTAGACTAACGTTTAACCTAGTGGCATCTGTTGCAGAAAGAAAGTGACTTGTTTGTGAAACTTATTTGTGATAGATGGTTTGTTTTGCTTTTGTTTTGCTTTTAATGTGAGAAGATATATGATTTTGTTCCCCCAAATTGTGGGGTAACCCAGGGGAAGTTAAGGTAACCATTACACAAAGATAATTTTACCCTTCTATAAAAAAAATATTATGCATGTAAGGTTATCTTTGTAAATTTATAAATATGTTAACTAATGTGAAAAGATATATGACTTTGTTCCCCGAAAATTCGGGGGTAACTAAGGAGAAGTTAAATGTAACTATAACATGAAGATAATTTTACCCTTCTATAAAATAAAAAAAATAATAGTATGCATGTAAGGTTATTTATATAAATTTATATATATTCCTTTTTCATCACTTTATCAAACTTTCCAAGTGTAGTAAAATAAGTTCCTCGCGATTCTCCTTATTAAATTCCCAAAAAAAAAAAAAAATATGTTACATTAATTTCGTTTACTTATTCTATATTCAATTAATTTCTCTTGACTTGGGGCAAATCGTCCTGAGATAAATTTATTGTATTCCGACTTTGAGGACTACTTCTAATTAAAAGTTGATATACCCATAAAGTAGCAGTTGTGTCCTTTTGTCATCAAATGCAAGTTTTTTCCTTTTCTTGCATAAGACTAGAA